CTATCCAGGATAATACGAGAGGTGCTTTGTGGCTGAGTAGAACTCCATGGCTTTTTTCTGGGATACCAATTACATATTAAACTACTTAATACTGCCCCACAGCTCCCTAAGGCTTCTGTTTCTTTTTTCTTTTTTAAGTCTTTTTGCTCAGTGTGTTTCATTTCGATAGTTTCTATTGTTATGTCTTCAAATTCACTGACCTTTACTTCTTGAGTATCTTATCTGTTGTTTAAACCCATCTAATGTATTTTTCACTTCAGATACTGTATTTTTCATTTCTGGAACTTCTATTTTAGTCTTATTTCTTCCCTTTTTCTTTTCATTATGTTCATGTTTTCTTTTATGTTCTTGAGTATGTTGACAATATTTATTATAGTTGTTTTAAGCTCTGGTCTACCAATTCCATTGTCTGTTATTTCTGAGTGTGTTTCTGTTGATTGGTTTCCTGCTTCTTTGCTTGCCTGATATTTTTTGATTGGATGCAGATATTGTGAGTTTTACATTGTTGGGTGCTGACTTTTTGTTCTGGCATATATTAAGTAACTTGAAGATCAGTTTGATCCTTTAAAAGCTTGTTTTTAAGCTTTGTTATGTCTGGTTTGTTAGTCCCTAATTTAGCCCCACTACTAAGGTATATCCCTTTGAAAGACTACTCCAATGTCCCTAGTATTTTGCGGTCTCTGCACTCTGGTTGTTGCCTTCTGAGAGTTCTGGAAATTGTTTGGTCTACTGCTTTTCAATGAGTTTTTACCCTTGGCCTCACTTTTTTTCCTCATACTTGCCTATGTTGGTATTCAACTGAAGACTTGACAGGACCCCTTTGCAGATTTCTGGAGCACTCTGTGCAACTTTATCCTTTCTGGTATTTTCCCTGCAAATTACAGCCACCTCAGCTTCCAGGACCTCCAGTCCCTGTCTCCTAAGCTCAGCAAGACCACCAGCCTCTGTTTCATTTCCCACGCCTGCACTGCAGTTTGGAAACTGCCTCCAGGAAGGAAGCTGGGCCATTCGTTTCCTTCTCTTAGGGATTACAGTCCCATGCTTCCTGTTGTCCAGTGCCTGAAACTGTTCTTTTGTACATTTTTTTCCAGTTCTTTGTTGTTTATGGTAGGTCAATTCATTTCCATAGTGGTTAGTCCTTCATGGGCAGAACAGAAGTATTCAAATGCTGATTATTAGACATTTAGAAATAGAATCAGTATTCATATGCTTTTTAGGTGAATATTACCTGAACAGTTCTTTCTCAAATGCCTAAAAGCTTCTCAGTGCTCATTCATTCTTGGATTTTTTTTTT